CAGAACACATTATATCTGAAAACAAATCAATAATAAATGCCGCGAATTTAATATATTAAATTCAAATTATGTGACAAATCTTGTGACATAACTTAAAATTTTTCCTTGTGGTTAACAAATAATTAAAACAATAAAAAAAAATATTTAAAGTAATCAAATTAAATCATATATAATATTTTAACTCATCTGAAAATATATGAAATGTTATGATTTAAATTTTTTTAAAATTTTTTTTTATTTTTTATCCGGATTCTGGGTCAATCCGACCATTTTTTATCCGGATATTTATCCGGGTAAAAACCGTAATTATCCGGATACCTAAAAAAAAAAATTATCCGGGTTTATCCGGTTGAACCCGGCAACGGATCGAAACACTACATTCAATGGCCGTCCGGACACGTGATCAATGATCTGCATATACACTGTATTACGACTATTACGTAGACTTCAACCATTGTAACACCTAAGCCCATGATAAATCATGTTTGCCACCTTAGGTATTAACAAAATTACTCTTTATTAATAATATAAATAAATACAATAATATTCTTGGTTTAATAATATCACATGATAAATAGAATAATTATATTAAAATATATTTTCTTCCATTCGTAACTCTAGAATTGTAACTTATATTTTTGGGAAGTTATATCATTACCCCTATTTATAGTTGTTTATGTTTCACCAAATTCATAATTTAAGTCATGGACTTTTAACTTTGACATTTCCATGAGATTATCTTTATAAATTTTGAGATCCATGAATTTTTAATCCTTAATTATTTCCATCTATAATGATCATCATTACCCCCTTAATTATGATTCATAATAAATAGTACCCTAACGTTATGATCTACGAATTGGTCACCTGATATTTCAAATCACTTGATTTTAATGATCTACTAGTTTATTGTCATTGCGGACAAAAACTCTTTCCCCTTTCCATTTTTTCACATAGAAATCCGCAGTTAAATACTGTTTTTTTAAATAAACATTTTTTACGTTTGTTAACGCTCGAGAAGAAAGAGGACCACTGGGTGGCCTCTTATGGAAAGGTTCTTCTCCTTATTACCCGACCTTTGAAAGCAGTTTTTATGATAAAATATTTTTTTTATCTCACACCCATATACATATTGAAAAATATGGCTTCTTTTTTTCCTAAACATATTTCCTTGGGAAAATTTTCTTTCGATGTCTCATTCCACAAATTTCACGTGACTAGACCCAAACGGGCTGGATGTAACAAGATTTATGAAATCAGGAGATCAAAAAGTTTCTTTTTTGAGCTAGTCAATCCCTCAACAAACACCAATGATATTCATCTTAAAATACACACAAATGATTATCACATGAAATCGACCCCTATTAGCTACTCTTCCACCTGTAGCTTTCCTAATCTGAAATACCAGATTAGTAAGATGTTACAACATTTTTTTTCCCATCAAAAAGTAATCCCCCGATCTATTCAAAAGAAATATTTTAATCTTATTCGTTCCAAATTACTTGATAGATATTTTCTTATCAAATCACGTGCTGACACAGTCACACAAAGAAATTCCCGCACAAAAACTTTCTTTAATTTTTCTTATAAACGTTATCGTTTTTACTTTGGTATTTTCACACCATGTAACTTCTCCATTACTCACAATTTTGGAAGTGAACACACACAGTTGTGTAGTGTCCCCTCTCCCTTCATTATGTATCATAATAGACGAGCCTGCATTTCTCATCATAAAAATTTAGACATTTTTCATAATGTCAAGAAACACACCCCGTTATTGACCCATAATGACACTATTAACCACAAAGAAGCTCACGCATTGCACACTTATTTCAAATGGAAACATGGCACGAAAAAACAAGTTTACTCAAATCGCTTAGGCATTTCGTAAGATGTCTCGTACTTAGCGAACAAATATAAACATTTCAACACGCAGAAAAAACACCTTATGTACCGTAAAAGGTTAGATAATTTCCGTTCACACCATTCCGACAATAGTAAAAGGAGTAACAAACAAAAATCCCGCTTTCAGCGGGCATGTAGATCGGTTTTCTACAATCGTGGTAATAACAAAAAGTCACAGAGACGTGTGGATAGTCTTGAAGAAAAACTTCAGCGTGCTAGACAACACCGTTTTCTATTTTTACCTTCACAGCATATTAACAAACCTATACAACATGTGAATTACCATAACCCGTTCCGCCGACCCGCTCCACGTTATCCAAGGGACGATTCAATTAGTACGACAAGTACTAGCTCGCCTGCCACCAATTCACAACCCGTTCCCGTCGAAGATGAGAACATTTGGCACGACAAGCTGGGTATTTGGATTCCTAACAGTCTCCTTCCTTACGTAACAGAAGAACCTGTTTATATTTCTAAAAGACAGGCCAAACTCAAAGGTCAACATTTTACGCCAGGCTGTGCGTATTGGTTAGATGGTATTAAAAAACGTAAAGAAGCTCATGAATTAGCTTTACGTCAACAAAAAGATCAAGAAGCAAATGATAATGCTCGCCTCACTCTTGAAAAAGAACTTTAAGCCAGAGCTCAACTCTGGGGTACCTCTATCAACCGTATAGAATATCGTGAAGATATGACGAAAGACCTCACCAATTTCCAGGATCATTATCACAAGAAAATCACACCTCTGATTGAGCGTCGTGCTGATCTAGAGAACAGGCTTAAACAGGGAAAAAACATTTTCAAAACTAACAAACAATTACTCCAGTTAGAACAGGAGCTTGGTCGTTTTAATATCGACTATTTCTCAGTCATGAACATTGATGACTACCATTATCGTTATAAAGGACACACATCCGATGATGCGAAACAACTTGAAATCAGACCACATAAACGTCCTCCTGTCTCGACTATAATTGCAGACAGGCACACCACCCACAACAAGAAATTGAGACTAGATATTCTCTCTTCAGCAGACTTTAAAGTCTCCGCCTCACTTTAACAATTTTTAGATCACCTATCAGCTTATCTTTTATTTTTAGTGGCACGCTGATAGTCATAGTTTACGTTATACCTAGCCACTTTTTTTTATTTTTTTTGACTAGTATTTTATTACATCTTTTTTTTTGGGTAACCCCACGTACACCTTTTTAACAACGTACAACAATAAGAATAGTGTGAACCATTCCACCTCTTACAGTATTAACAGGTGGCGGTCTTTTCGACCGAAAGAAAAATATGGGTCTATGTTTAGATTGCCTTTTCTTTGGTCCATTGGGATGTGATGTCATGTTAGGGACTCCTCCGGGTTCGTTAAAGGTACCAGAGTGGCGCTGTCCTCGGGCGGTTTGATTATAGCTTAGTATTAGATAGCGTTCGACTTTTGTTTTATCTTTTGTTCTTGTCTATCTTTCTGTAATCTTGTTCACGTGGTTTTTAAAAATAAAAATAAAAATAAAAAATTGTCATTGCAAACCAATTATCCTCATGGCTAGTAGTTTAACGTCTTTTCGGACCAATATTTATCCTTAAGTCATATGATTGTTAGTTTAACGTCATCCTGGACCAATTAAAAATACAATTTTAAACTAGAAATTTATATACTAAGATTAAATATAATACTGCGCCCCACAATTATTAAATTTACTAGATAAGCTACGGCATTACACCATGCAATGTTCGTCCGTCCAGAACGTGATCTATATTAAGCACAAAATTTTCTTGCAGTACCAGCTTAAGGTATAGTTAGGAAAATATTTTGGGTAAGGATAGGAAGGCGATTTAGGAAAGAATGATTTATAATTCTGGAAACTTTGTAAGATATCCAAGTAAAAATTTTTACTTTAAAATGTTTACAAAACTCTCAGAATCCTATTGAATCCCTAATAAATGAGGTACGATATTTATAAGTATATGTTTTGATTTTTTTTTTTTTATCATAATTCATTAATTTCTTGAAATTAGAGAAATAATATTTAAATTAACAATTTTGAATCAATTACATATTCCATCAATATTTCTATATCTAGGAAGAAAAAATATAACTACTTGGTTCAATATTAGAATACAATATTGCAGAATACTTTCTATTATTTTAAAATCATCGTCTGACCAAGTTGTAGGATCCAAAAGAAGTATAGGATTTTTATAATTCCCCATTTTTAATATGTGTTCCCAAATTTCAATTTCTTACTTTCATTTGTAAATCATATCTTTTAATAAGTGAAACCAAAGATTTTTCAGGAAGTGAAATAAAATCAAATGATTTAAATATATTTTCGGGTGATTTAGCCATTAAATCTGTACAAATTAAATAATCTTGTAAATGATCAACTAATTCTTGAAGAAATAGTTCATTAGCGGCGACCATGTTCATTTAATGAAAATATCCATCACAAATATACCTACATTTTTTTTTTATAATTAGCAACACATTTTATTAATCATGAAACACGAAAAGGTACATAATTTTTTTAAAATACATAGAGACATTGGTTAATTATATTAACGATAACCCTATAACTAACCTATCTTAACCACTATAAATAAACACGCTCTAATTTACTCTATGCACCAGACTACGCCATCAATTATTTAATTATCTATACTAATTTATACCCAAGGACGGAATCTTCCTAAAAGACCAAATCCAGGCTCCATGGACTAGAGCACCCGCAGGTGGGTGATACGCGACAAGAACAACCCTCGTTTCACACGTCTCAACGTTTCGTGATGGCTAAATAAAATTCCGTTTGTTGATCGTTACGCCCACTGTCCGCTGATCAACCGATGTTGCAACCGCTCTCCAAAATAATTGGTTCTTCGGAAAAAAATTTATTTCCTTTTATTCTCCGTCTGCCACCGCCCGTTTCACACCAAGACAAAAAGAGATTATAGAGGGATTTTTTTATATCATTGATGAACCACTCCATTTTTTTTTTTAAAAAAAAAGATAAAACTGACGCCTTTATTTATTTATGGCAAACGTGACCAACAGCCTATTTTATGTAACGTATTAACAATTATAGTTCATGCTTCACAATAATAAGGGTTATGAATTTGATTATTGTCTTCCGCACCATATATGTTAAGTGCGGATAATAGAGTGAACAGTTGATAACTGTGTAACTCTACAATAATAATGATATTATAATCAAAAATTTCTAAATTACCATTTTAAAGAATTTCAAAGTGTTTCTTATATAAAGTTCACTCAACCCTCGAATCTAAAACTTATCAAATTCATCATTATCATAATAAACTTGTTTAGTTTTTTCCAAAATTACCAAATTTCAATCGAATGTAAAAATTTTTCACATCATCTTTGTCTTTGCGAATGAATTTAATAAACAATAAAAAGGAAGATAAGGTACATAATTAAATTACAAAATTTTTATTCGAATAAATAAAGAAGAAAATAAATAAATTTTAAAAATATCATTATAAAACATTTTTAACGAAATGATGAATTATTGTAAAGGTTCATGTATTTACAAAATGTGAAACAAAATTTCCAATTAAAAGATAAATATAGGTTTTGGACAGTATCCGTTTTTTTAACTAATAACATATTTATGATATTCACCAATACGGATACTATTTAATTTCAAATAATCTAATTATTCCGATAATCCAGTAGAATAATTTAATCAATTTGCTCAATTATCATTACGACAAGAAAAGGATTTAAGATTTAAAAGCATTGATTATTTCATGAAATAAAGTTTATTTGATATTTATAATCAAATAGAATAAAAAGTGAAATAAAATTTGTATTATTATTAATAAATAATCTTAATAATTCATTTTTAATCATAGATATGAATTTCGTCTAAAAGTTGTAGATTTAAATGTCTCCATAATTAAATGAAAGCGTCTGATAAATTTCATTATCAAAATATCTCTAGATTCTTTAGAAAATGCGAAAGTACTACACTAAATATTATATTTTGTGCCTTTCAGTTAAAATAACTAGTCTAAGTAGTTTCCATGATCATTTAAGTGTAAATAACTTGTTTTAGGCATCATAATTACGAAAATCAGGATGATGTCAAATTGTCAAATCAATTATTTAATTTAACTCTACATATGACTAGTGTATTTTAATTCAGTCAATAATGATTGAAAGTATTGTATTGTGATTTGTGACTAACTATTATTAAATGATCTTTATTTTTACGTTATCTAAAACAGGAACTGGCTCATGATTCACCTGATTCATGTGATACACCCTGCAAAGTCAACTTACATCATTTGTTTACATTTATTTAAAAAAACTTTTTTTTCACATTTCTTTCTTTATTTTTTTTCTCACGTTTATTTTAATATTTCTTTTCTCAGTTAATTTTTTTATTCTTTCCAACGTGAAAGTATATTGGTTTCTTACTTAGAAAAAGCGTAACTATTGTCTGATATATTGTTCCAAAGTTTTGAGTCCTCATTCATCGATTGTAAATATTTTATGAAAGAAAAATATTTTTTATATATTTTCAACACCTTTATTTTTAAAAAGTTTTTATATATTTAGCCATTATTAAATTTTAAGTATATGATGCCCTAATTTTTTTTTTTTTTTAATGCTATATGTGTATAACATGATTTTAATTTATAATAATTTATTTATTATTATACGTAACGTCAAATTTCCAAGAATACTATTGAATCATCACATAATAACCAGAAATAAAAGCGAAATAATCCATTTAAAAATAATGGTTTTTGTACACTTATCAAGTTTTATTTGTGAAAATATTAAATTTATACTCATTATCCAAATTTAATTTAATAAAATTGTTTCTTATAATATTAAGACTTTCAAAGACTTTTAAAAAAATTAAACTTGTTCATTATTTTTACATTAAATATTTTTTTAAAAGTGATTACTTATTTTATTGGTATAGTTTATTTTAACTCAACGCAGATCAGAGCGCCGGAAAAAATATGGCCCGAAAAATTTTTTTAGTGTAACATCTGCTTTAGGTTAAAATATTCCTTTTTAGTAAGTAGTTACCCATTCAATGGCATACTGAATAAAAGAAAAGCTTTTAGTCTAAAAAAAAGTTTAAAAAAAAATTTAAAAATTTTTTTCGGTAAAAATAAATTTCTAAAATAACTAAATGGAAACTAATTTGAGCAATTTAAATATCTCAAACAAAGATACTGATACAATAAACAACGAAAATTGTTTATATTGTAATAAACCTTTTATTGAAGAATTATGGTGTAAAGAATGTATTAGTTCTTTGGAAAAATTAACCGAAAATGGTGATAAAGTAGCAATGTTTAATTTAGCAAATAAATATAGAGATGAGGAAGGAGCAAAAAAGAATTTAGAAAAAGCATTTTATTTATATCAAAATGCAGCAGAAAAAAATCATATTGAAGCAATGTTTAATCTAGCCAAAAGGTATTACAATGGAGAAGGAACAGAAAAGAATTTAGAAAAAGCATTAAAATGGTATCAAAAAGCAGCAGAAAATGGTTATGAAAAAGCAATGCATAATTTAGCCATATGTTATGTAAATGGAGAAGGAACAGAAAAGAATTTAGAAAAAGCCTTTTATTGGTATCAAAAAGCAGCAGAAAATGGTTTAACTAATTCAATGCATAATTTAGCCTTATGTTATGTGAATGGAGTAGGAACAGAAAAGAATTTAGAAAAAGCCTTTTATTGGTATCAAAAAGCAGAAGAAAATGGTTTCACTAATGCAATGTATAGTTTAGCTATATGTTATTACAATGGAGAAGGAACAGAAAAGAATTTAGAAAAAGCCTTTTATTGGTATCAAAAAGCAGCAGAAAATGGTTTCACTAATTCAATGTATAATTTAGCCTTTTGTTATTACAATGGATTAGGAATAGAAAAGAATTTAGAAAAAGCCTTTTATTGGCGTCAAAAAGCAACAGAAAGTAACAAAATAGATTTTAAAGAAGAAGTTGAATCATGCAATATATGCAAACAGCTATATACTAATTATCAGTGGTGTCAACAATGTAATGTCAAACAATTTCAACATGATTTTTCAAAGTGGACCAGTAAAAATGAATTTATTGATGAATTTATTCAAGAAGCACAACTAAATGCCAAAAATAGTTATGAAATTTTAGAATGGATACCTTATAATAAATTGACAAATATTAATTATCATGCTAAAGGAGGATTTAGTGAAATTCATAAAGCTATCTGGTTAGATGGTCCTATTTTTAGTTGGAATTTTGACAAACAACAATGGAATAGACAATTAGGTTATGAGGTTATTCTTAAAACACTTAATAATTCATCAAGTTTAAATAGTAAATTTCTGGATGAGGTATATATATTATTTATATTTATTAGCAAATTTTTTTTCTTTTACAAAAATTAATTTTGTTTTATTATTTATACAGTGGAAATATCATTATAATTGTCAGAAAAAATCATTTTCAAAATTTATTCAATTTTTTGGATGTACCCAAAATCCAAATAATTTAAATTATATAATAGTAATGAGTTATGCAAAAAAAGGAAGTTTAAGAAAATGTTTATATGATATAATTAAATTTAAATGGCAAGAAAAGTTACAATTATTGAGAAAAATTGTATTAGGGCTCAAAGTAATTCATGAATCAAATTTAACTCATGGTGATTTTCATGATGGTAATATTTTAATATCAGATAATTACAATGAGTTATTTATTATTGATTTAGGATTATGTAAACCTATAAATAATTTACAAGATTCTGACAATAAAATTAAAGAAATTTATGGAGTTTTACCTTATATGGCACCTGAAACATTAAGACAAAAACCCTATACACCAGCAAGTGATATTTACAGTTTTTCAATGATAATGTGGGAATTTACATCAGGTATTCCTCCATTTAATCATGTAGCACATGATCATCACCTTATTTTGAGTGTCTGTGAAGGGAAACGCCCTGAAATTGTTGAAAATACTCCAAAATGTTATATAGATTTAATGAAAAAATGTTGGGATTCAGATCCTTCCAATAGACCAACCATAACAATGCTTGAAGATATTATATCTGAGTGGATTAGATGTATTAATGAATATTATAGAATAAACAGGGATGGAAATTATAAATTTGANACCAACCATAACAATGCTTGAAGATATTATATCTGAGTGGATTAGATGTATTAATGAATATTATAGAATAAACAGGGATGGAAATTATAAATTTGAAGTATCTAATATTGATAATAAATTAAAAGATGATATGTTTGAATTTATAAAAGCAAACAAAACTTTAGTAGAAGAGCAAGCAAGTGCTTCTATTATACAATCTCATACACAAGCATATTATACAAGCCGTAAACTTACTGAAATCTTAGTTCAAGAAAAGTCCGATTGTTTTGAATGTATGGTTAAAATTTAATAATTCTGTTATTTATTCTTTATTTGTTGTACTATTTGTCAGTCATTATATTTCAATTTTTACTATAAAATAAATATTTAAATACAGATATAATAATTATCAAAATAATCTTTATTATAATTTTTATTTGAAATTTGAAATTTATGTTTAATATTCATATCCATACTTTAAGATTAAGAACTTACCAGTATAATTTATTGCCTTAAAAAAATATTATAATTATATTTCATAGACTATGGATTCTTAAAATATAATCATAAAGTTCATTTATTGAAGTTGTATCATCAATACCATCTTTTAAAACAGCTTGGATTATTACTTATTTCTATTTCCTTTTTAATTAAGATTGATAAACTAAACTTATATTTGGCCAATCCCTATTAGTGCTCCGCAAAATTCGGGTCTAACCCGGATAATTCAACCCGAGTGAATTTTAAATCGGGTCGGTACTAACAATTTTAATAACCCGTGACCCGCATGACCCGACCCGTCGGGTCGGGTTATTCATTTCCTTGACTCGGGTTTTGACCCGAATTAGACCCGAATGATCATTAAAATCACTGATCACATATTGATTACGCGTTAATATTGATTAATTTTATATAATTTTGTTAGATGAATGAGGTAGTATAGCGAAAATTGCTAGAGACACCTTGCAATTACAGATATGTGTATGAATTATTATTATTAATTATTAATATTACATTAACTAATAAGTTGATTTTGATAATTAATAAAGCAACCAGCGTTCCAGTAGAAAGAGTATTTTCCGGTGGAACCGATTTGATAGCTGCAAAAAGATGTAGTCTTAAAGCAGATACAATTAGAGCATGCATGTGTTTAGAGTCCTGGCAGACACAAAATATAGTCAAATTTCTGTTAAAGCAAGTGATACAATTTCGATTTTATAGTTCAAATATAAAGCAATAAATAAACAGGAATTGAAGATATCTTTAAATTCGTGCTTAGCTTTAGTTTAATAATAAAAAGTTATATGATCATCTTTTAGATCAATTACCTTGCATTATTGAAAAAATTATGTTTGAAAAAATATTTTTGACATATTACTAAGCATACAGCAATGAAAATTACTAAAATTTCGGGTTTAACCCGGGTTATTCGAATTAAATATACTCGGGTCGGGTTAAAATCGGATCATTTCTATTTTTGCCGGGTCGAGTCGGATATATTCTCCAAACCCGACTGAATCCGACCCGGTAGGAGCACTAATCCCTATAAAAACGAAATGTCTGATATTTGTATTTTTTATCTAACTTTGTCTAAATTTTATGTAAAAATTCATTACATTGTGCTTAATAACTATTTAGCTGTAATCGTATTGTATAATTTCCTTTTAATTTCTTGTCAATTTAAATCATCCTTGTTGTCATCATTTGTTTTATCATGAGAAATTTGAAGTCAAAGAATTATGAAATCTATTAAACAATTCGTATATTATTACCGACATATATTTTTCAATAATAATGGTTTTATGTGACGAAAGCCTGAAAGGCCTTAATAAAAATATATTCTTTGTGAAATATTTGCATTGCCATCACTACTTTGTGCTCTGGCCATATATTAATGTTGCACTTTGATGTTGAGATGACACTGTTGGTTAATCTAGGAATATTAATTATTGAAACTGAATTTTAATGTCATGAGACTGTGAGCAATAATTTAATGGTGCTACTTAATATTGTTATTTTGATCTGTCATACATTGTTTCAAATGTAATTTTGTATTTTTTATTTTTCAATACGTATAAACATACAGCATACTGTACACAGGATAAAAAAAGTTAAACCAGATGTACCGAAAAATTTTGTGAAAAAATTGCCACAGTTGCCCGCAGTATGAAGAGTTTTGGCTATATTCCTATATTCATCATGGCGTGTTGGCGTCACAAAAAAATTAGGATGGATTTTATTAAGATTTTTTATTTTCTACACTTAGAAAAAATTCACAAGGGTTAAAACCCTAAATGTCGTAAAAGAAGGAGGTTGAATCCACCGCCATCCATCTATTATCTTACAAGAAAAAATTCATAAGAAACGTTCCATATGCATAAATTACAAGAACCATCGTTGTTGCTATAACAAGGTCGATAAAAAAATTCTTAAGAATCATGATTCAACAATTTTCTTCCCTTTAACAAAAACGATTTATTTAGTTAGAAATTATATTTTAGGGATTACGGGTTTAAATCATATGAATATTATGAAAGTATACTTAAATACAGTAAGAGTAAATTATTCGTAATCTTCGTACGTTAATATTTAAATGATGATTGATGAACATGTCACAAATAAAAATGTTAAAACTGAATTATTCAAACGAATGATATAATAAGATTGAAACTTTGAAGATAAATCTTTAAAGTGCCCAAGAAAGTTTCTTGATTTGAAAAAGACGTTCAAATAAGAGAAAAAGAAAAGGTAAAGAGATTTAAAATGAATTAAAAGAAGTTTTTACAAAGCGCACAAATCAAGATATTTTTAAAAATAAAAAAGTATATTGGAATTTGAATAGGTGATAATAGTAATATGTTTCATAGTCATAATAATTATTAACTGAAGTTCTGCGTAGTGCTAATAATATTACGTCATTATGATAGGTACTAGCCGGCTAATGCTGGCCGGGATTTTAATGGAATTACGTAAATACACGTGATTAGCCGTAAGTAGTACTTATATGTTAATACGTGCTAGTTTTGAGGTGAGTTACTTACTTTTTTTTACAGATTGTTATCTCGTTATCCCTTTCCTTTTCCCCTTTTTAGTTTTCTTTTTTTTACTTCCTTTTCTGTAGCGCCATAGCGATAATGTTCTAAGGTTCATTTTCATTATTTCGGGAGATGGATGTGGTGCAGCACGTGACGTTTTTTAATGTTTACAGTATAGTAACCGATCTAATGTAACCCGCTTCAATATTTTTTTGTATCTAATACTAGTTAACGAAGGGTGGGTCCGCCGGTTGGATTTTGTACATTTAGTTTTAGATCAATAGTGCATATGACTTTTTTTGTAAAATTTCAAAGTATCTTCGTATCTCACAAATGTATCTACCTTTCTAAAGTAAAAATAAAAAATAAATAAAAATGAATCTAATACTAGTAGGTCAAATTGTTTAAAATTAAAGAGAAATTTGGTTTATCACAGCATAATAAGTTGCTCGACATGCAACTAAACAGGTATATTCTTAAACCTGAATGTTACAACAACTGTCAGCTTTGATTATCTTCCAACGCGTATTGATCTCTAACTACAGAAAATTAGAAAATCAGTACAGGTAATTCAAATTAAACTCAAGGCTTTTTCAGGTAAAACATAGTCAAGGTTATTATTTCATTTATAAAATTTGCTAATTATTTAAACTTGAAAGATTATTAAAGCAAAACTTTTTAAGAATTCCTTTTTATTTAAATTAAAAGATGATATTGAAAAATGTAAAAATTTAATATTTATGGCATGAATAATTGATATGCAAAATTTCTAATAAAAATTATTTTATAATTTTGTTTGAGTTTCCTGAACTTCTTGTTTATTCTGAACGTCCTGTGGTATTTCTTCTTGACTATTTTGAGTATCTTGAGTATCTTGAGGTATATCGGATATCAATTTTATCTTTGCAGCATAAATGCAGAACTGAAAAGTAAAAACATTCGAAATTAGGATTTATATTAAAAATTTTTTTTATGAAAAACTCTTATTATACAAAAAATAATGATTTTATATTACCTCATCAAAGAGAATGTAACCTCCAAGGTTCGTATCAATTTCATTGAACTTGGCTTTAAGTTCTTTATTTGATACCACATTTATTCCAATTAATTTATGACCTTTTTTGAATTCTCCAAAATCGATACGCCTGTCATTATCTATATCAAGTTTATTAAATATTTTGAATAGCTCATTGTAGTAATGAAGAAGATCGATGAGACGACCAAATTCTTTGAAATCAATGAAACCATCCTAAAGAAATTTTTATAAGTATTAGTAGGATTCAACAAGTAAAATAAGAATAATAAAAGCTAATTTGAAGACAAACTTTGGAAGTATCGGCAGCTTTATAAGCTCGCATGATGGCAGGCTTATCTTTTGCGAGGTGAGGATAGAGTTCAATAACAGCTTTATCAATTTCAGCGAGAGACAAGATACCATTACCGTTATAGTCAAAAACGTCAAAAATCTATCATAGTGGTTAATTATGAAGTTAATAACTTTAAATAACAAAATATTTATTCAAAAAGTTAAAAAAAAGTATACCTTCTTAATTTGAGCTTTGTCTAGATTATTGGTAGTAATAACTGCCTTCTTTTGAGTAGTTTTACTAGCCGCCTTCTTGTCCAATTTACTAGCAGTTTTGCTGACTACCTTCCTATCCAATTTTCCGGTAGTTCTGATAGAAGCCTTCTTGTTTAATTTTTCAGCCATTGGTATTATGTATTTTAGAATTTGTCTTATTTGTCTTGAAATAAATTTTATGATGATACTTGGGCGATATTTCCAGCCATTTTTATATAAAAAAAATGGGCAATATTCTTACATGCCAAAAATAGTACAAATTCTTAATTAAGGTATAAAATATCAGGGTTTCACTAAAAATAACTTAAAACTTCTTTCAAAAAACTTAAAAATATTAAATAAATTAATTTCGTCGGTAGTGTTACATTATTAAAATTAACTCTCTTTGTTAGATTAAAAATATCAATGGATCAGAATTTTAAAATTCAAAAGACAACGTTCAGTAGTAACTAAATCACTAGCCAAAATAAGCGAACACGATATAGTAATGAAATACAAAATTATAGAATGTTCTATTTTTTTACTTATAAAGAAGCCAAAACAAAGAAATATTTTTATGAATAATTAATTTATTTATTTTTTTTTTTGTTTTACGTTCTTAACTTTATTTAAATAAGGAGTTAAATGACCGACATATTATTCATGTATCACTAACATGATGAGAATGAGAAAGTGTAACTATATAATTTTAATAACAAAGAAATTCTTTGTCGATTAAATATAATAATGGTCAAATAAATTTGATGTAAGACGAAATCAATTATGATGTAAACTGACGATGACAATAACAATTTTTATGGGACACAAATCGGAAATAACCTTCCGAGTTACGTTACAGAAAATAATCATGTACAGTATTTGTTTTAAAAAATATTTAGATTATTAATATATCTTATATTTGTAAAATGTATCTTAATGAAGGAGTAACTTAATTATTTCATATAATAATTTAACTATATTAAATAACCTGCATTTATTTTCACTTTGGTACAATTTAATTTGAACGTCAACGTTAAATTTAATATAATAAAATCGACTGTAACACAATATTGTATTCAAAATCATTGCTACAAGTAAAAAAAAAAGAGAGAAATTTCTATCAAGAACGATACAAAGTTTTTAAAACTAGCCAAAATAGTAAACCGGATACTAAAAAAAATTTTCTTGTTTTGAAAATGGTAGTACGTAACTCGAACATATAAACTATTGGTAACGCCAAGATAATTGATACTAACCTAATAAGGATATTAATACAACCCATTTATGGTTAAATCTGTACTAATATGTTAATCACTTATTATTTATGGTAAGTTAATATTGCAATTTTTTACGATGAAAAAAAAAACAAAACCTGTTCGTTTGTGATAAGGAAATTACCATAAAAGGCTCTCATATGATAATTAATATACATGTTCAATTGTTTCATTATGTTTCATCTTCCAAATCAATCGTTACAATTTACAAAGCAAAAAAGGAGATATCCTTAAAAAGTAAACAAAAAGATGGAACATAGTTTTACCGTTCATTTCTGAAAATTAATAATTAATGAAATTACGGATAAAAGAAAAAATTATAGAAGATGAACACAAATTAGAAATAATAATTTAACGGTAATGTCTTACAAAGTCTCACAATTTACAAGATTACTAGTTTAGTTACTAGTTTTTGAGCTGTATATTTCTTCGCATCCTCTAAAGTGTTCCAAATGTCCAGAAATGTATAGAAAATTGTTTGATAATTATTTTAAATAATTAGATACAAATTTGACCTTGGGTGGACGATGAATTATGTAAATATCGCAAAAAAAGAATAAAATTATATATTCATTAAAATTTTTATTTTGTGATAAAAACATAATATTAAACGAAAATTAATTTTATTTATCTGCCAAATATTCTCGTGATTTTAAAGCTTCGAAGGAGATATTGGCGTCATCAAAGTTTCCTGTGTCAGCAACAACAACTCGGAATAAGTTGTAGAAGCAATATGTCAAATACTCTGATCAATTCCTATATTCGATCATCAATAAACATACAGTATGTAAATTGCACATGACATTCAACGGAAACTGATGACGTTATGTTAACGTTAAGTTAATGTTAACATTTTGTTCGTCACTTCGTCTTATATATTTAGTAGTGCTAAATTTAGCGCCACTCACCATATCAAAGATTTTTTATATATACATTTTGCCATAGAATTATGTTATATGACAATCACTTCTAAAATTAATTAATTTTGACCAAAAATTTGATCATTCTACCGTATTTCTTTTTTTTATTTATTTATTTATTTTGTAGGTTCTGGCTTCTTCTGAGAGACTTTTGGATGGTAAGTTAGTTGTTTGAGAGTAGAGTTTTAAAATTGATTAAGAAACGTGCTAAAAGCTAACATTTCTTTTTTTTAAATTTTGCAGAGTTTAGTCTCTCTGGAGAGGACTTTCGGACGATAATTATCATAATAAAAATTGGTCTGTATAAAAACATTAAAAAATTCAATTTAACATATACCAAGATTTAACCATTCTATTATTATCTATATAATATAATAAAAAAATTCATGTCGATCTTCTAACGTTTAGATTAGCCTGTATAAATAATTTTTGAATTGTGTACCGCATATCAGATGATTCCTTTTAAATAATATTTATTGGTAAAATGATTGACAAGTTCATGATAAAATATCTGCGCCTGATCTATACTTAAAAGGTTAACAGTTAAGATAACTTGATCAGCAAATACTGATTACTAAAATATAATAATTTTTCGATCAACTAATATTTATTTGATTTTTCTTATACCTTTTTTCATAATAATATAAAAAAAAGATTTGTAATAATGATAAATTACTGCAAATACGATGATTAATTTTTTTTGTTATAATAAATAATGTTTTTCGCGATATAGATTTTTTTGCAATAATTTTTTTTTGTAATTTTTATTTTTTTGCAACTAGAGTTTTGCTAATACTAATTAGTGATAGTATGTAACTTTTTTTAATAATAAGTTTCCTTTAAAAGAATTTTTTTTTCATAATAAATTAGTAACTGACGTTTACTAATAATAAATATTACAAAAGTTATACAATACAATAAATACGAAATTGTCTTTTTATCTTTCTTTAATTTAATTAAAAAAATAATGTATACTAAAATACATAAATACACACACATTTAACATCTAAAGACATTTTTTTTCAAATAAATTATTTTCTTAAAAAAAAAAATAGATATATTATTATAACCATACCTGCAAAATTATCTTTATTATGTTTAATTAACTCAGTAAGCGAAAAGGACAGCTCAAATTATATTATAAGAGAAGCTATTGCAATCATAAGGAAAGAAGACAATACCTCTATGGACTTGAAATTAACTTCTTTTATTCCAAAAAGCTCTTCAGCTCCTAGATGGATTCCTCTATTTGAACCGGACAATATTTTAAGACTTACAGGAAAATTTATTCTTGAGGAAGAACCTCTTCATGGGATTTTACAGGTACAATATTTTACATTTTTATATTTTAAGCTTCTATTTAATTATAATTAAACAATTGATTAAAAAATAGATAACAGCAAATGCTGGTGATCTTATTGAAATTAGCAAAGATAATCTTCCAACGAGTTCAGTTTCAGTTTTTATTACAGGATTTGTTGTTGATCAAGTTCAAAATGATGATAATATATTTAGAACTATAAAAATTATTACCTCTGAATTTGCTGGTAATAATACGAATAAGTTTTACATCAAATGCAGGTATTTAAAAACAGATGAAAGAATTGAAAAAAAAGCTACTAAAATGAGAAAAAATTCAAGTGTAATGATAACTGGTGAGTTGACTCTGGTCAACTCCAAGTTTAAAATAGAAATTCAAGACTTAAACTTTCTATCAACAACAATTGGCAACATTGAATCTTCCTCAACAACAAGTAGTTCTGCCTCCTCTTTGTATTCTTGGCCTACAACTCCATCTTCAAGAATGTCTGCCCAGAAAATAGCAAACACCCTTACACCTCAAAATTCAATACCAGATAATCAACCCTTAAATATAGTTACTAATTACGAACTTATTAATGATGAGAATTCTTCACATGATGACGATAATGATACTTCCCCAAGTACTCAAACACCACCAAATACTCGAACACCATCAAGTACTCGATCAAATACTCAAAAAACACCTAGAGGAAGAAAAAGAACAAAAAAATAATGAAGTTTATATATATTAATTATTAACAAATTATAATTATTTAATTTAACTTCTTTAATTCATTTTTTTTTTCTTTAAATTTAAATTTATATTATATGAATACTTAGTGAGCACTTTTTAAAAAATTAGTTTTTTTTCTTTTTTTGTTTTAATAACCAATTATGAACATTTTTTTTCTGATTTTTTTTAGTAAGATTTCAACTTTTTTGATTACTTTCTTTTTAATGGAATTTTGAGTTTTTTCCCCTTTTTAGTATTTTTTATCAGAATTTTTTTGTACGAACTTTGATTTTTTTTTTAAATTGATTAATATACACGTTGATCCTTATAATTTTTTTATTGTGTACCCATAATTTATTTGTACCTGATCTATACTTAAAAGTTAAGATCACTTGATTAGCAAATGTTGATTACTAACGTATAAAAAAAATTTTTCAGTTACTGGCATTTCGCTAATACTAATTAGTATTAATATATTAATCCCCTCACTTTTTTTGATCGCTTAAACAAAAAAAAATTCTCTAAAATTATTATGATTTATGATTTTTTTTAGTAACAATAGATTTCCTATAATGTTATTTTGCGATATAGATTTTTTTTCATCAGTTTTTTTTTTGTGATTTTGAATTCCTGATAACTGATATTTTGTTAATAGCATGTAATTTTTTTTAATAATAATTTTTCGCTAACAATATTATTTTTCATAATAGATCAGCAATTGATGTTTTATTAATAATAGATAATTAATTTTTGATAATAATAATAAATTCTTATAACAGATTTTTTTACTACAATGAAAATTGTATAATAGTATTTTTGTAATTTTTTTAATTAAATTTTTTTCCTTATATTGTTTATTAACATAATAGCAGATAATTTATTGTGAATATTTAATAATCATACTTTTTTGTGATTTTATAATATAATAAAAAAATACATGTCGATCTTCTAACGTTTAGATTAAGTCTGTATAAATAATCTTGAATTGTGTAGCATGATTCAGTGCCTGATTTAAACTTAAAAGTTAAGGCCATTTATTTGATCGGCAAACGTATAGATTTTTTTAACTTAGCTAATTTTTGATCGGTTAAACAAAATTTTATTGCGAAGATA